TAGCCCAGCAATGTTGGTGGCTATTAAACCCAGAGCCAATAGTTCATCTTGCAGAGCACTTGTCTTTTCCAGCTCTACAATTTTAAACAATAGATTTGGTATATGTGTACAGTTTTAATTCTATCAACATTTAATTGTTTTTAATTATTGTTTTTTCTATGTAAATAGCAGTTCTTATTTTTATCTGTAGGGTGGGTTATAAAATAAAATATAATAATGATAATGATAATGATAATGATAATGATAATGATAATACTATCTGAACTAAGAGAGGCCATCCTCAAAGCTGGAACATAAAAAACCATGCTTTTTGCAGCTGAGGAGCACCCGGTCCTATGTTCTGCCTTAATGTTTCTTGGTCAGATCTACAGCTTACCCAAATAGAGACTCACAGCAAAACATTGCAGTGTATCCTTGGCCCTTATCAGGAGTACTCCTCTATTCAGGGCTTCAGATGGCCTTAATGTGAATGCAATTACCGTGCATGTTTTAATTACATAAAAAGCATCTGTGGTGAAGACTGAGCAGCCTTGGAACCCATGGGGAATGGGGAGTTCAGCTCTTTCCTTCCCCGCTGTGATGCTGACAAGAATCCCCTCTGAAGTTGCTATTTGCATTTCAAGGTAACCTCCCACTGGAAGCAATGGAGGCTTCCTTTGAAATGCAAGTAGCTGCAAGAGTGGTGATTTTTGTCTTGACTGTGGCAGGAAGAGAAAGAGTTAACCTCATCCAGGGCCTAAAACAGGGATGGGGAATAATGTATCCAGGGGCCAAATACCACCTTCCAGTCTTCCAACTCTGGCCTTTGGAACTCTCCCCAAGCTGCACCCCTCACTGACAATGCTTCCCATCCCAATAGTTTTTGCCTGGTTGAAATGGGTTCTTGAACTCTGATAATGCTTCTTTCTTGCCTGATCTGAGGGCTGTATGTATGTGTGTGTGTGTGTGTGTGTGTGTGTGTGTGTGTGCAGAAACTAGCTTACAGTATAAAGCAAAATTTACATTTCCAGCTTTGCCATGTTTCTCTCCGGCCCTGCCCACCACTCGAATGTGGTCCCTGGAAAATTGCCAAGAGGAGAATGTGGTGGTTCCCAAGCCCTGCTGTTCTCCATATAAACTGCATTGCTTATTACTTAGTAATACAGTCATACCTCAGGTTGAATGTGCTTCAGGTTGAGGGTTTCGGGTTGCGCTCCACGGCAACCCGGAAGTAACGGAGCATGTTACTTCTGGGTTTCGCTGCTTGCGCATGCACAGACACTCAAAATGATGTCATGCGCATGCGCGGAAGCGGCAAAACGCGACCCGCACAGATGTGCCGTCGCGTCTTATGTTCTATTCAGGATGCGAACAGGGCTCCGGAATGGATCCCGTTCGCATCCTGAGGTACCACTGTAATAATAATAATAATAATAATTTATTATTTATACCCCGCCCATCTGGCTGGGCTTCCCCAGCCACTCTGGGTGGCTTCCAACAAAATATTAAAATACCGTAATACATCAAACATTAAAAGCTTCCCTAAACAGGCCTGCCTTCAGATGTCTTCTAAAAGTCTGGTAGTTGTTGTTCTCTTTGACATCTGGTAGGAGGGCGTTCCACAGGGCGGGCGCCACTACGGAGAAGGCCCTCTTCCTGGTTCCCTGTAACTTGGCTTCTCGCAGTGAGGGAACCGCCAGAAGGCCCTTGAAGCTGGACCTCAGTGTCCGGGTAGAACGATGGGGGGGAGGTGGAGTCGCTCCTTCAGATATACTGGACAGAGGCAAGTGTTTATATTGTAACGTTTCTGAGTCCAAGGACAGGCACCAAGAATGAGGAATAGTTTAACAGAAAGAGCTTTATTCAAAGAAGCCCCCAAGACCTTCTGCTAGAGCTGAAACTAAAAGTCTAAGGAGCTGCCTGGGTCACATGACTCCAGGGCAGGTCCTCAAATTGACCAGTCCTTGACACTAAGTGTCAACAAATTGCAAGTTCTATCATCATAGAGGGGGGGAAGGGTCATGACGGCAGTTTGCATTGCATTCTGTTGCAAGAGCTCAGATTGTGCTTTTTTAAAAAAAAGAAAGGAAGAAGGGAAATAATAGGCTCCACTCCCCCCTCTTCCTTTCATTAACTTGCTACCTATGCTCGAGGAATATTTTCCTGGTAGCGCAAAATGCTGGGACAGGTTAGAGAAACAGCCAGATGACAAGCTCATTTGGCTAAGATTAAGTGAATAGAAAGTCTTTTCACATGCCACTGATTTTTCTCCAAACTAAACAGCTCCACCTCTGTTTTGCCACATGTGTTTATGCTCATAGATCTTATTACAGAGAGAACAAACACTATTCCTCAATAGCTTAGGTAAGGGCAAGAAAATTGTCACCCCCATCTCTCAGGGGGGCCACTAATTGACTTGGTGTCTTCCCTATTGGTGGTAATGACTTTTAGCTCTTAAAAATGGTTAAGCAAGCAAAGAGAGCAGTTCTTGTTGGTGAATTTTCTATCCAGCCCTAAGACTCTGCAGTCCTGCATACAAACCTGCCTCGATCCTGAGATCACCATGTAAAACCTGTCTCCATGTCTGGATGTAATGCTAAGCCAGGGCATGACTTGATTCCTGGTACTGTGGCACGAGAGAGGAAGGAGTGAATCATCTGTGATTTCAGCAACATGCACCAGTGCACAGCATGCTCACATCTGTATCATAGTTTATACTACAGTGGTACCTCTGGTTATGAACTTAATTTGTTCCAGAGGTCCGTTCTTAACCTGAAACCATTCTTAACCTGAGGTACCACTTTAGCTAATGGGGCCTCCCACTGCCGCCGCACTGCCACCGCCCGATTTCTGTTCTCATCCTTAGGTAAAGTTTTTAAGCCGAGGTACTGCTTCCAGGTTAGCGGAGTCTGTAAAGCCCTTTCCGAACTCCAGAGGAGAGGGGGTTGCGGGCGACACCTCCCACACACGCGGGGCTGGGCTAGCCCCGCGAGATCCAGGGAATCCCCGGGCGTGCCTGCATCCCGACCCGCCAATCGGCGGGTCGGGGAGGCGTGGCCTACCCTACTTAAGGCCAGGCACGTCCGGGGACCGCCCTCTTTCCTTTCGCCAGCTGAGCGGGTTTTTTCTTCCCTTCTCTACTTGCCGGTTTGTGTGCGGTTCGCCTCGCGGAAGCCTTGGTCGGTCGTTTGGAGGGAGCGGACAGCTGCGACTCGAATAAAGAAAAGAAAAGGGGGCTGAAATCACTATTGCTAGTCGCTAGTTCGGCTACCTTTTTGGAGACCCGGCGCGTCGAAGCGGTTCATAAGGCTTCTTCATTCTGGGCGATTGCTTCCCCGTTTTCTACTCGTCGCAGCACGTGGATTTACCTGGGGATTTGTGCTGGCTGTGCGCTCTCCCGTCTGGGAAACCGGATCTGCGGGACGAGAATCGGAAGCTGCCTATAAGGACAGAGGTTTGGTCGTGCCGTTTTTTCTTCTGTTTTTCTCGGTCAGTTACTTTCGGGTCGGTCGGTTATTCTCGGGTTAGGCTTGCAAAAAAGCGCCGCCAGTCAGGCGTCTGCTAATCCTCTCGGCTTCCAGCTGCCCGTAAGGTCTGAGGTTCGGTAGTGTCGTTTTTTCTTTTGTCTTCTCGGTCGGTTATTCTTGCCTAAGGCTAGCAAAAGCGCAGCCCAGTCGGGCGTCTCTTAATCCTCTCGGCTTCCAGGGTCGCCTGTATTCCTGTTTAAAAAATTAGTGCCGGCTTTTCCGGAAAGAGCGTCCTGTTCTGTTGCCTGGACAACGGAACACGTGGTGTGTGGCCGCCATTTTAGGTGAGGCAATAAGCCCGCAGCGGACCACGTGGTGTTTTGGCCGCCATTTTAGGTGAGGCAATAAGCCCGCAGCGTTCTAATCCTTTTGTTTGGGTACTTTGGTCTTGGGGGCGGTACTGTTAAATTAAATCGGGCGCCATCTTGGTAGGGCTCGTGAGGGAAGCCCAGGCAGCCATTTTGTCGGGGCTACCGTCGCCATCTTAGTAGGGGCCGCGCGGTACGGCTGGCGCAGCCATTTTGGTAGGGGCGCAAGCGTTGAATAGCCTCCGCCCAATTTAATAACAGCTTAGCAGAATTAGGGCATAATATACCCCCTCGGTTTTTAGGTTGCTGCCAGATTTTCTAAGGCGGGAGGCTGCCAGCTACATAGCCCGGCACTGCCCTAGGTCCCAATTGTTTCTCGCATCGCTCTGGGCGGGGATTAGGATCGTGGGCTATTTTTAGCTCCTCCGGAGCTTGGTTTATTTCTGTTTTGGACCCCCCAAGTGCAGGAAATTTTGCAATAAGGGTATTACTGTTGCTTGAGGCAAACAACAACCCAGTGGGCTTCGGGCAACACCACTCGATCTGCTTTGCTATAGCAGAGCACTCTCCTTGTGTAGCGAGCCAGAAGAAATAAAAACAGTACGAATAATAACAACAATTACATTAATAATAACATTACAATACTTATATTGCTTATAACAATTTCGTCTCAATTGAAGTAATACAGCTTGCACACACATTTTAAAGAGCATAAATACAGTGTCAATTATCATATCCTTTAGTTTTATCTGGAGATTTGACGCACAGTGCCGTTGTTTTTCAGCTGTGGATTGGTGACATTTGATTAAGTGGCCAATTGCCAATCGTAATTTAAATATAATAATAATAATAATAAAATAAAATAAAATAAAATAAAATAAAATAAATAAATACAAAAAAATATATAATACTAGTATTGAGCATAAAGAATTAATCATAAATAATAATAATAATAGTAATAATAATAATAACAGATAAAAAATAATAAATAAATAATAATAATAAAAAATTAAATAAATAAATAAATATTTGAAAGTTTATACAAAAAATTAATAGTTAAAAAAAAAAAAGAAGAGAGATTGGTTTTAACGTACAACCTTGAAGGGTGTAGACAATACTGAACTTGACAGACCCCCTTGTGTGGTTAGAAGTACCTTGAGATCCTTGGGTCTATTATACTATTGTCATGGCTTCTGGAGGGAACCAACAGGCATCCACTTCTAGCAATCAACCAACACCGGGCACAAGTAATGGGGGAACTCAAGCGGGAGTCATGCCCTGTGACCCTCAAGCTTTCGCTCAATTTTTCCGGGCGTTTGAAACATTTTATAGACAATGTAGGCCTGGGGCTGAGGCGATCCCTGCTCCGGAACCGTCCCAGGATGTAATACCAGATACTCCTCCTAACTGCCAGGGGCAGCAGGGAACCCCAGCTGTGCCAGGGGGCAGCGCACAGACTGAGAGTGTCAATGTTGGTCGCCCGAATACTCGTGCTCAGGCAGCCAGTAATAGAAGGGCCAGCCAAAACGCCGGAAGGGGTAAAACTTCGGCTAAAGCCTCCGGCAAAGGTAAGGCTATTCCCACTGGGTCAGCTAGCAAGACCTTTTCACAGGTTGTAGACTTGCCTAGTGTATTTCAGGAGCAGCAGCACCAGCACAGCTCTACCGAGGACAGTGCAGGGTCCGGCTTGGAGGAGGAGAACAGGGAACATCAAACTGCACAGCCAGTTACCACCGGGAGTGTGGCCACCGCAGAGGTGCAAGGCGGCAAACGGAAGTCCAAGAAGAAGCACACATCATCAAAGAAGAGGAGAAGTAAGCAGTCCGAGACGGAGGATGAGTCAGGTACGTCTTCTTCCGATTCAGATAGTGAGGACCCCATGGATGGTTACTGGGGATTGGGCGAAGGGAATCACGGGATCCCGCTTTGGGCGCATGAAAGGAGAGCCAACTCACACCGTAAGACTTTTAATGGGGTGCTAGACTGGAAAGATGGTGCGTTGGTCGAGGACGTAAAGGTCGCCACCAATCAGTCCACCGATTTCATTTTGGGTAACCATTTGTCCCAGAGGAAGAGGAATAAGATCCTCAACGGTGATTATGTTGACATGTTCACCCTACTCCCACCTACAAAACTAATGGGGAAAGGTGAAAAGAGGCGATCTTCAGGAAAAGGGAGGTACAGGACCCCTAGGGCGGAGCGCACCTTTGAGAATTGGTTAGATGGGTATCAGGTCTTCATGGGTGTTGTTTGCGCCGCTTATCCTCGGCGCTCTATGGATTTGGTCGCTTACCTCGCCCATGTGAGGCGGGCTCACTCGCTCGCAGGGGAACATGCCGCTCTAACTTATGACGAGAATTTTCGTAGAAATGCTTCTCTCCTACCTTCCACCCGATGGGACCTGACAGACCCTAACTACTGGGGTGAGGACGTTAACCCTTACATTGATAAGAAAAGCCTAGGATCTGCAAAGGCGGGTAAGCCGGAGGCAAAGCGGCGTCGCCTCTGCTGGGAGTTCAACAAGGGGGCATGCTCAAGACCCTCCTGTAAGTATTTGCATGAATGCGACCGGTGCTGGGGAAATCACCCCGCCTCCGCGTGCTTTAAGAACAAACAACAGCCCTTTTGTGGGGGCAGGGGGTACTTCCACAATAACAACAGAGGTGCCCCCGGTCCCTCACACCAGGGACCTGGTAGCAGGCAGTAACTTGAACCTGGGTCTGGCCTTCTCTCCCGTCCGTCTCCAACCCCTTAAAACCCTTCTAGATCAATATCCTGATCGCAAAGCCGCACAATACTTATGGGAAGGGTTTTCCAAGGGATTCAGAATTCCGGTGGCTTTCCCCCCTAACACCGGGGACCCAAAAAATCAAAAATCTGTTAGGGAAAGGCCTGAGATTGTCCGAAAAAAGATCGAGAAAGAAATTAGAGCAGGCCGGGTGGCCGGCCCCTTTACCAAACCCCCCTTGGAAGGACTTCATTTATCCCCCTTGGGCATCGTGCCAAAAAAGACCCCGGGAGAGTTCCGCATGATCCACAACCTCTCCTACCCTAGGGGAGGCTCTGTCAACGACGCGATTCCTCAGGAGCTTTGCACGGTGAAATACGCCTCCTTCGATCAAGCAGTAAAAATGATTCGTAGTTTCGGGAAGGGCGCTTCTAGCAAAATGCGACATTGATTCGGCCTTCCGCCTCCTTCCAGTCCACCCAGAAGACTTCCGTTGGTTGGGTTTCAGATTTGAGGGGGCGTATTTCATTGACAAGGCAATGCCTATGGGCTGTTCCGTTGCTTGCTCAGCCTTTGAGTCGTTTAGCACGTTCCTCGATTGGGCCCTACGCTTCAGGACCGGGTCGGTGGGCGGGTCCCATTACCTGGACGATTTTATTTTGGTGGCAGATAGCAGGCAGCGATGCTCCGCCCTTCTGGGGGCTTTCACGGCCCTAACCGGAGAGCTTGGGGTTCCGCTAGTCGCGGAGAAAACGGAGGGCCCGGCCACCTCCATGGTCTATCTGGGTATTGAGTTAGACACCGTCGCCCAGACGTCCAGATTGCCAAAAAGTAAAATCGACGCCCTGAAAACCCTGATACAATTGTTGCCACTAAGGAAAGTTACCTTAAGGCAAATTCAATCCCTGCTGGGACACCTAAATTTCGCCTGTAGAGTAGTGTCACCAGGACGCCCCTTTTGCGGCCGTTTGGCAAGATTGTCCGTGGGTCTCAGGGCTCCTCAGCATAGGGTACGCCTCTCCAAGGAAGTCAAGTCGGATCTGGGTATGTGGCTACAGTTTCTTGACAAGTACAATGGGATATCCTTGTGGCAAGAGTCCATGGCCCTCGATACTGATCTACAAGTTCAGTCAGACGCAGCAGGTTCATTGGGTTTTGGAGTTTACTTCAGGGGCCAATGGTGTGCTCAAAGGTGGCCTGCAGAGTGGCAGGGTCAGCCCATCACTCGGGACCTTACCTTCTTGGAATTTTTCCCTATCGTGGTAGCCGTGCACCTCTGGGCAGAGCACTTCAGGAATCACAGGGTTTGTTTTAACACAGATAATCAGGCAGTGGTAGCCGTCCTCTCTAGACAGTCTGCGCGCTCCACCAGGGTAGGAAACTTGTTAAGGTCCTTCGTCCTCCTCTGCCTAGAACAAAATATATATTTTTCGGCCAAATTCGTACCTGGCGTTAATAATGACATCGCGGATGCTCTGTCTCGTTTTCAGATGGAGCGCTTCCGCTCATTAGCGCCAGAGGCGGAGCAATCATCGATGTCCTTCCCGGAGCATCTTTGGAGCCTTGGGAACAGGAAGTGATGAAGGGAGTATTCAGTGCAGTTGCCCCCTCCACAATGAGATCATACGGGAAGGCTTGGGCCGATTTTTTAAATTTTCGCAGCAGAATGCCCAGTTCCAAGCATAATTCAATTCCCTCAACAAGGGAGGTCCTCCGCTACTTAACCCATCTTAAGCAGCTGGGCAGGGCGCCTAAGACCCTCAATATTCAGTCCGCTGGTATTTCCTATTTCTGTAAAGCCTTTTTCGCCACCGACCCGTGCGCTGAATTCATCGTGCGTAAGACTTTGGAGGGTTGGCGGCGTCAGCAACCCCCCAGCGTTGACAAGAGGAGGCCCATAACGTTTGATATTCTATTCCAGATACACAAAAAATTACGTGAAATATGCTGGTCAAAGTATGAAGCGCGCTTATTCTCCGCCGCTTTTTCCGTAGCCTTCTTTGGTGCCCTGCGCATAGGCGAGGTTGTCTGCGGGGGAGGGACGGCCCACTGTCAGAGGGGCATCCTGTTAAGCGATCTGACCCTATCAGAGGCCGATTTAATAATCCAAGTTCGAAGCTCTAAGACGGACCAACAGGGTAAAGGGGCCCTCTTGCGTTTACCAGCCACACAAGCCAGTGGCCCCTGTCCGGTTAGGGATATGAGGCGTTTCCTCTACTTAAGACCCAACAGACCCGGCCCCTTGTTCATTCACGCGAACGGATCGCTCTTGGCCAGACACCAGTTTACGCGTGTGATGCGCTTGGCATTGGCGGCTTGCGGGTTGCCCGCGGCCGAATTCGCTGCGCACTCTTTCCGTATTGGGGCAGCGACCACAGCAGTACACCTTGGTCTATCAGCAGAGAGGATAAAGGACCTAGGGCGGTGGAAATCTAGTGCATACAAAACCTATGTGAGAAAGAACCTTTGACCAGCGATTGTTCCCCCTGACCTTGGCTTTTCTGTCTACTTACCTTTCAGGAAGCAAGCCGATACGCATTTGGGTGGTGGGCCACAGCATCGTGCACTGGGCCAAGCATCGTGCCATGTGTACTGGGCTAGGGCTGAACTTGAGCTTGCCTGCAACCATAGAACTTGTTTGGATAGCGCGAAGAGGCATGCGCTGGAGTGAATTCAAGCCAGCAGTGATGGCGAGAGCTGCCTCCGATGGTCCACCCGATGCACTGGTTATCCAGTTGGGGGGAAATGATCTGGCGTACCGCAAAGCTATTGATTTGAGATGGAACATTTTTGACGACCTGGCTGATCTGAGAGCCGTTTACCCAAACATTACTTTCTTGTGGTCCTCGTTGCTTGAGAGGAGGACATGGAGGGATTGTGTGAGCCCGGTTGGAATCAACAAAGCAAGAAAGGTCTTGGAGCGGGCAGTGGAACGTAGAGTGGCGGCTCTGGGTGGGTGCGTCATTGGACACCCAGGCATCCAGCATAGCAACGAGGCCCTCTACAGATGGGATGGCGTCCATCTGTCTGATACTGGAAATGATATTTGGCTGGGGGACATCATAGCAGGGATTAGGAGTTGGTTGCAGATTTAAAGGTATTGGCGGCGAGCTTTGCTCGAGTGGCGGTTAGGCATTGGCAGGGGGTTATTGTTATGCAGATGGAATGGGGGGGAAGGAAGCGCCATCACCTTCCCCCAAGGAAAGGGTAGTCCGGTAAAGGACTCCGAGGGGCGTTGTCTTGTCCGAAACCTAGGGAGGTGAGGGCCTCCGGCACGCCCCCGAGCGGTAACACCCGTGGGATCCTAGTTGGCGTACTTCAACAGGACTCCCACGGTTTGTGGTTAACCCTTACCGGTCAGCATGCCGGGTAGTCGATAGGAGCCAATGCCTAAGGCCAATACCTTTCAATTCTGTAATCAATAAAGTTGTGGCCTTTTATGCCCATTAACCTAAAACAACGTGTCCTGTGTCTTCATTTCTCATGGGGGAGGGGCCTCGCCACGCAAAGCCCTTTCCGAACTCCGGAGGAGAGGGGGTTGCGGGCGACACCTCCCACACACGCGGGGCTGGGCTAGCCCCGCGAGATCCAGGGAATCCCCGGGCGTGCCTGCATCCCGACCCACCAATCGGCGGGTCGGGGAGGCGTGGCCTACCCTACTTAAGGCCAGGCACGTCCGGGGACCGCCCTCTTTCCTTTCGCCAGCTGAGCGGGTTTTCCCATCCCACCCACCCTTAGGTTTAGCTAGCCTTGACCTTGCTATGGACTTCGGTTGGTCGCCGCAAGGGGCCTGGTAGGAATTTTTCCAAGTTGGCGCACTGTCTGCCTTTTGGTTTTTTCGCCTACCTCGTAGCAATTCGTCACAACTTCCGCGGTATTGGCGGTTAGGCATTGGCAGGGGGTTATTGTTATGCAGATGGAATGGGGGGGAAGGAAGCGCCATCACCTTCCCCCAAGGAAAGGGTAGTCCGGTAAAGGACTCCGAGGGGCGTTGTCTTGTCCGAAACCTAGGGAGGTGAGGGCCTCCGGCACGCCCCCGAGCGGTAACACCCGTGGGATCCTAGTTGGCGTACTTCAACAGGACTCCCACGGTTTGTGGTTAACCCTTACCGGTCAGCATGCCGGGTAGTCGATAGGAGCCAATGCCTAAGGCCAATACCTTTCAATTCTGTAATCAATAAAGTTGTGGCCTTTTATGCCCATTAACCTAAAACAACGTGTCCTGTGTCTTCATTTCTCATGGGGGAGGGGCCTCGCCACGCAACGTGAAGTGTTTGTAACCTGAGGTGTTTGTAACCCAAGGTACTACTGTATTGTTTGGTGAGCAAATGAGGTCATCGTCCATCATTGGCTGCTATATGTCAGGTGCTTTCAATGTCAACTGCTATTGCATATCATTTGGAAGATACTGAACAAAACCTGTCTCCATGTCTGGATGTAATGCTAAGCTAGGGCATGACTTGATTCCTGGTACTGTGGCACGAGAGAGGAAGGAGTGAATCATCTGTGATTTCAGCAACATGCACCAGTGCACAGCATGCTCACATCTGTATCATAGTTTATACTACAGTGGTACCTCTGGTTATGAACTTAATTTGTTCCAGAGGTCCGTTCTTAACCTGAAACCATTCTTAACCTGAGGTACCACTTTAGCTAATGGGGCCTCCCACTGCCGCCGCACTGCCACCGCCCGATTTCTGTTCTCATCCTTAGGTAAAGTTTTTAACCCGAGGTACTGCTTCCAGGTTAGCGGAGTCTGTAATGTGAAGTGTTTGTAACCTGAGGTGTTTGTAACCCAAGGTACTACTGTATTGTTTGGTGTGCAAATGAGGTCATCGTCCATCATTGGCTGCTATACGTCAGATGCTTTCAATGTCAACTGCTATTGCATATCATTTGGAAGATACTGAACAATACGGAACTTTTAAGATGTCAAATAATGATGCCGGGGGGGGGATTGGCTTCCCTCCAAATAATCA